ATTATTGAAAACGGAGGGGGGGGGGAAATATTTGTTTCTCAAAATACCCGGCTATGTGTAAATGTGGCATAAAGCACCGACTCACCTTTCAAAATGTCTAGACATATTCTTCCCAGCTTGTCTACATTGGGATGATATATTTTGGTCATGAAGCGTACTTTAGGAGCTGCCATGGGATATTCCTCTGGTAAAAAGAGTTCAAGTTTAAATGTGCCCCCCTCGAAAGGCGAGTCCTGAGGTCCGGCAATGACCACATGGAAGTAGCGGGCGTTGCCTTCATCTGGCTCTGCCTTGATGCCTGGGACAGGCTCTGCCAGCAAACGCTGAGTTTCCTGGAACAGAAAAAGACAGAAAGAAATGAGCTTTACATTGGTGTCACTTTATACTACTAAAAGGCCTCTTTCAGACAAAGATGTGCGTGTTAGGGTAAATATTTCTGTATATTTCAGTGGAGGGTGTAAATAACAAGTGCATAAAGTGTTTTTATGTGACAATTGCTAAACATTTTTATAGAATAAAGCTATTTTCTAACTTTTCTGTGCTTGTCCAAAAGCTGTAGTGATGACTGAAAGGAGCAGACTGTTCATCCTTTGATATAAAGCCAAATCAAGATGTGTATTACATGTTTTTCACACTTTGAATCTGGGTGGAAGTATTTTATGTTACTCCGTCAGTGACTGCAGTGTAATACTTAATTATGACAGCTACAAATAGAGCAGTGATTTAAGGACCTGTACTAAACGTTACAGTCAGCTGTACTGGTGGAAACTACACATCACAGTGTGGAAATGGATTTATCTGGGGGAATTTCCATTTGATTTGTTTATTATATGAAAGTTAGTTGTGGTACTGGCATGACATTCATGATTGTCTGGAATACATATTTCAAATTCCTATACAATTTGATGTCAGCTCAATCTATTTTGGTACCATGGTATTGCATATTCAAACAATAGCAGATAAATACCTAATGAAGATATTGTTGATTGGAGCGAAGAAAGCTGTAACAAGAAAGTGGCTACAACCCAACGCACCGACACTGGAAGACTGGCAAGGAACTGTTCATGAAATCTACATCATGGAGAGACTGACGTTCGCTTTAAAACTACAATCAGAGAAAATTAAGAGATGGTGGTCAAAATGGATTAGATATATAAGATTACGGAGACCTGAACTGCTTTAAGTACCTTTATCACATGGCTTGACGTACCAGATTATTGATTATTGGGATAACTGAAAATTGCTGTCAGTAGATCTTGATGGGAAATGAGGAAGTGTGACATCCGTTGTTCAATTGTTCCTGTTTTACACATTGTAAAAAAAAAAGAAGAAAAAAAGGAGAGTAATAGATGGGAGATTATATGATAGTGCAATTATGTAAGTGCATGATTCTGTTTTGCTTTGTGTGAGTATAATTGTACTGAATTTACCTTGTATGTTTCTCCTCGATAAAAAAAAAAAAGAAAGTGAGTTGTGGGTCATAACTGTAGTTAGCTTATTATTTAACACAGAGGAGGGGAGGCTGCAATATTGGCTCACTGCTGTAATTCTGAAGACTCTGTGCAGTATATATATAACTGTCTTTTAGAGGTGACACTGACTCAGCCTCCGCACCACAGGACACCATTACGTCCAATCCCCATCAGCTACTGCGGCAAGGCTTCTCCCCAATCATAGCGACAGCAAAGTGACTAACGGAAACACACAGAGGAGAAAGAGGAACAGGTATCGGACATCTATCGAGGCATGCATTAACTGATAATACAGTATTACACCTCTATTAGGCTCTTTGTTTATTTCTAATCTAAAAATACATCATATATCCTGTCAAACTGTATGAATCACACCACACAACAACGGAGCAATAAATAAAAAACAGCATAACTATGTATGAAATCAGCTCGCCAACAGCCGGGACTCTTGTTTTTTTCCTGAACGCGACTGGGAGTGAGATTCCTGAAATGTTTCAGATAACCCACAGACAAAACCGTGCAGTGAAAACACAGACGGGAGAGGGGCTCCCCGTCCCAGTCACACGCTCTGAGGGCTCAAGGGCTCGGTCCTCTGAGTACGGTTCCCAGCCTCTTCCCACCAACACTCAGTCTGCGGTCTGCTTACTCGCCCACCTGTGCAACCTTCTCTTACACACCTTTCTTTATTAAACTCAGTACTACTCCTTTACAAATCACAAGCTCTAATGCCAGTAAATCTGCTTAATATACACAAATACACAGAATTAATTAACTCTCTAAACTTTGATTTAGTTTGTTCATTACCACCAAAGCTAGTAAATTGATGATGATTAGTTACTTATTATTAGTATTATTATTATTATGAAGCCTACTTTACTACTTCTGCGTCGAGTCGATGCAGGTTCATAAAAGTATGAATTAAATAATCTGTGGCTGCTGGTCAGACACTGAAAACAGATGGTGTTTGGGTATTTAAGATGTTTGAGCAAAAAGTGATTTCTGATCAAACCTTTCACCTTTTACTCCTTTGATGGGTATGTTAACCTCCAACCTCTGCAGACAAAGACTGGTTTAAAACTCTTACCTACAAGCCTTTTGCACTAATTTATATTTAATTTCCACTTTAGTAGTTTTTTAGTTTTAGTCCAGTTTAATTTTCCGCTCATATTTTGCACTCCATGTCCTAGTGTATATACTTTAATTTATAGTTTTATATCTTCTAATATTAATAATATTAGTAATATTTTATATTATTCTATATTCTTTGTTCTCTGTTTTTGCACTTATTGCTGCTGTGTCAACCTTAATATCTCCTAAGGGGGATAAATAAAGGAATATCTTATCTTATCTTATCTTAATAGGGCATAATATTATTAATATTAGAAGATATAAAACTATAAATTAAAGTATACACACTATACATTGTTCAAGTAGAACATGGAGTGCAGAAAATTAAACTTGACTAAAACTAAACTAAAA